GTCCACCATGTTGTAAACGATCGCATGCACGGTAAGTTCTGAAATTATACGTATGTACAAGCAGACATGCGAGGGAGAAAGGGAGATGGCCATCGACAGTTCCAATACGGCTCCAAGGCGGAAGAGGGGGAGGAGGAGCAGGACAAGGAGGAAAGGAGAGAAGCGAGAAAGGAAGAACGCAGACGGCGCGGCTCTGGACACAAAGGGGTGCCATACTTTCTCCTGCTTTCGCAAACAGGTCCAGTCACACGTAGGGGTATACTCAACCGAATGGTCTTCGCATCCAGAAGCATACTAAAGGCGCGACGCATCGTCGTCTGCGATGGCGCGGAGCGGGCGCGTGGGTGCCCGGCTGCCTGGCTGATACACGTGCGGGCCTGGCTGATACCCGTGCGGTCCCAGATGCCCAATGAGATTGCCGATACGCCTGCTGGCGGGAAGGCCGGTGCTTGCATACGGCAGTGCTACCGCGAGCACGTTGTGGACCTGCGGTGGCAAGGCCTGGTACTTGGGGTCCTCTTGGGGAAGGGGGGAAGCCTCCTGGCGCGGTTTGGGGTCCACTTGAGAGCCTTTGGGGGGCTCCTTGGAACCATCTTGGGGCCTCTTGGGGGCTTATTGGACCCTCACGGCGGACTCTTGGGGCCTCTAGAACGCCTCCTGGGGCCATCTTGGGGGTCTCTTGGAGCCACCTTGGAGCCTCTCTGGAACCTCTTGGGGGCCTCTTGGAGTCCTCTTGAAGCCTCTTGGGACCATCTTGGGCGCCTCTTTGGGCCTCATGGACGCCTCTTGGGGCCATCTTGCGCGCCTGTTGGGGCCATCTTGGGTTTTAAAGATTCATCAAGAGACCGCGAATGGATTTCGAGATTTTTCGGATGAGAAAGTAGTGCGTTTTCATATGTTTTCTGAACATCGCATCTTGAAATTATTGAAAACCCATTGTGTTTGGCAGGATTTCGACATGCGCGCGCGGCGGCCGCGCGCATGTGCACTTCGTCTCATTTTTTGCAAGGGATGGTGGCCCTCGCAGGCGCGCAACCGTTGTTGGAGAAGTTCAAAGCACCTGAAGAAGTAGCACGCAAAGACCCTTTTGACAGAAATGTTTAAAAAGTGGTGTGTTTCCTATGAATCCGCAAGAGCGCGCGGAAGGACATTTTGACAATTTTTTCTTAAAAAACCATTGGGTTTTTGATGTTTTTATGTTAAAATCGTTACGAAACCTAAGGTTTTGGAAGGATTTCGTCTTGCGAGCGCGAATGTCCACTTTACCTTATTTTTTGCAAGGGATTCTTGAAATTTGATCAACTAAGAACAAGAATTTTCATTTTCTATTGTTTTTTGCAAGGGAAAACGAGCGTCAACAAAAAACCGGATCCGGGGGTAATCCACTTTTCTGAAGCTTTCGCAGAAAAATGATGAAAATGTAGCTGCGGCCTAGGTTTTGGGCGGGGGGCGTGCACCAGGGGGTCCAACAATAATAATTCTTTAGAAGTAATAGTGTTCAACAACAACAACAAAAACAACAAAAACAACGTCAACAACATTAACAACAACGCAACAAGCATAATCCTCACCACGGATTCTCACTTCAGCCACGCACCCAGGGACAATGAATGACCGTTCGGCCCCCTCACTCTGACATACATATGTATATATATATATACACACATCTGTATATATATACACATGTGTATGAAGAGATTGGCATCCTCATCTCTAACCCCATCCTCCGTCTACTCCGCATCCTCATGTTCGTTGTCCCTTCACCCCCGGATGTCCCATCCCCGCCGGCCTGTCATGCCCTTCCCATTCCTACCATCCGGCACTCCCGCAGGCAGGGGGGGAACCACCACATTCACAAACGCAGCAGGCCTGGTACGGGAGAGGATCGGCTTAGGATGGGTGACGAGCAGAGCTCCGCCGGTGGAAAGGAGCAGGTCTCGAGGCACCTGTTGCGGGCTCCTCCTCCCCCCCCCCTCCTCCGGACATCTCCCTCCAGAGCAACGGATCCTCGCGGCTGGGCGTGCCTCGCACTTCCGAACACTGCGCCCTTGCCTGCACGGACGAAGGGTAGACGGCTTTCCAAACGGCTCTGCCGCGGAAGACCCTGACGCGAAGGATCACCAGCTCAAGCAGCACCACGGGTGGACTGCTTCTCGCCGACGTGCACCGATGGACAGACCCTCTGAATGGGGTAACTTAGCGGGTGGGGACGTCGCGCGGGGGTGTTGGGTGAGACTTCCAGCGCGGGGGATGGAGCAGTGGATCGCGAGAAGCTGGGTTCAGCGCGCGTCCTTGGCAGGCCGTCGTGCGGGATGGCATGGGGAAGTGCTCGTGGAGTGCGTGCGGATAGATCCCCGACATCCAACGTCTTGACAATTCAATACTGGGTCCACGGAAGTCTCGACCCTTTCCGCAAGGCCGGCTTTTCAACCTGAGCCGTGTGATCCTGGAGCCCGAAGCCAGCCCCCAGAGGCCAAACTCGACGAGTATATTGGGAACGAGCAGATGGGGTCGGAGGATCGCGCCGCATCACCGATGTATCGCCGATGCACCGGCGATGCATCGGCGACGTCTGCGATGCATCGGCGCCGTCGGCGTGGAGGAGATAGATTGGGCTCAACATCGAGCCGCATCGCCGATGCATCGGCGATGCGGCGAGATCCTCGGACCACATCGACTCGGACGCCGCTTGGGAGGCTTGGGAGGCGAGGCTGGCGAGAGGAAGCCTGGGCCCCGCTTGTCATCACACCTCCTCCCCAGATCGCCTACGTCGTAATGTTTCACAACGCGGACCCCCACAGGTCGAGCCCTTTGAAGGGGTATCGACCTCTGAAGGCCGGCGGAGGCCGAAAATTGCCCAACACCTCCCGTCGTGACTTTTACTGCCCCGCTGGCGGCATGTTTTTGCCTACGGCGCGCGAGCTTGTGACCCTGGCCAGGGAGGAGCAAGATGACGGCCAGGGCGGGGAGGAGGAGCAGGAGCGTCAGCAACCAGCGGGAGAGCCACGAGACAACGGGAAGGCGGGGAGGAGCAAGGCCCAGACCCCGGCATCCCGAGCGCTTCACGACCTGGACCCCCAGGAAGGCTGGACGGGGGCGGCCGAGAGCAGGGGAAGACCTCCCGTCGTGACATCTTCAGGACGTGAGCACTTCTGGAGAGGAAGGGGGGGAGGAGGAGGAGGAGGAGGAGGAGGAGGAGGAGGAGGAGGAGGAGGAGGAGGAGGAGGAGGAGGAGGACGAGGAAGAGGAAGGGGGAGAAGGGGGAGGAGGAGGAGGAGGAGGAGGAGGAGGAGGAGGAGGAGGAGGAGCAGCAGCAGGAGGAGGAGGGGACTGTCGAGGGCGAGGAGCAGGAGGGCGATGCGGCCAGGAACTTTTCCTCGGCGTGGGCCCCAGGATGTCCCCGAAGCGCCCGCCGCCCTCCCCGTACCGCTGCGTGGCCAGCTCCCACGGGTCCTCCAGGGCGGCCTCCTGCCTCGAGCGCCTCCTCGCCGACGCCACGCCGCAGGAGGGAGTGACCCCCAAGGGAGAGACAAAGAGCGGCCCCCGGTGCGCGGATTCGTGGGGGCTGCCGGAGGGGGAGGGGGAGGGGGGACAGGAAGAGGGATGCCCGTGAGTAGACTCAGGCAAGCTCACTTGCATGGCAGTTCCCCCCCCCCGCCCCTCCGCCGCCTTTTCCCTGTCTGGCCTCGCAACGCCCCCCGCCCCACCTCACCCCTTCATGCATGTGACAACCTCACCCCTTAATGCAAGTGTATTGAATAACATTGCGGGATACAAAAAGAAAGCGGCCCCCAAGAAACCAATACTGCTGTTCCCTGGACCTCTCCTGGGGTGCGTTCGGACCAAGAGTTCGATATGAATCCAGCCGTGGTGACGAGGGACGGGTACTGTTATTGGTATAGTTCCTCCTCCGAGGGAAGGGGAACAGCCCAAGCGCGCAGCAGAAGAAGAAAGTCTGGCACAAGCTGGAGGCACGCGCGCATTTGCTGGACCCGCGCTAGAACCCCCTGACGGCACCTTCGGCGCCACCCCTGGCGCGCCCCGCGCGCCACGGAGTCAGCGCAAGCCCGGGTCAGTCGGGCTTTGCAGGATCCTACATGATCCGGCGCTCTGGCTGACCCCCGTTTGCATTGACCCCGTCACCCGAGCCCCGAACCCTGTGAGCCCGCACCAAAGGTCTCTGCAGTGAGGGATCACTCTCCGGACATCCGACGACGTGACTTTCTCGGTGCGCGGCCACTGGAGGCCCCGAACCCTTTCTTCTCGGCGGTGGGCAAACCTCCCTTTAGCAAACCTCCCCTCAGTGAAAACGGCCTGGGACCGAAACCTGCGGACCTGGACCCGCAAAAATGACGGCCGCGACGCCCTCTCGAGAACCGAAAACGGCCAATTCACTAATCGACGTGTCAGGGCATCGGATCGGGCGAAAGGGGGGGATAGCAAAGGGGGGGTTTGAGAATCAGCTCACGTAGCTGATTTTTCCAGCGCCTCCCGGCGCCGGGAGCGGCCATGTATCGAGGAATTGGCCCTTCGGTGAGGCCGCAACCAGCTGCATGCAGCAAATTTCGTAACCCCCCCTTTCCCAATCCCCCCCTTTCGCCCGACCCGAGGGCAGGAGGTCTGTCCACCTCCGATCTTCCCTGGGGGGGGGAGCTCTTCCGGGCCCGTGTCGGGTGGGCGCGCGGCCCGAGCACGGGCCCCCAGAGGTCGCACAGTGGAGCGCGGTGTTCGCACACAACCCCCACGAGTTGCACTGCGCCACTGTCTTCGCCGGCCGTTATATTGACGCGTCTTGCTCCTCCTCCTCCTCGTCCTCCTCCTCCTCCACCTCCTCCTCCTCCTCCTCTCCTCCTCCTCCTGCGAGCCCCGAAGCGCGGTCGAGGACGCGTGCCCGCTCGCCGCCCCCCTCTGAGCTTCACCGGGAGCGCGGAGCGAGGGCTGTGTAAAACGATGGCATCCCGTGGGGCACGATGTTTGCGCACCGGCCCCGCAGGCAAGCTGGTCCGGCACGAGGTAATCATGCGGGCAGGGGCGGCGGCAATACAATCGGCGTCGGCCCCCGAGAATTCACGAGGTCAGGAGATCCCGAACCCGTGTGCCTTCCGCCGGCGAAGCCGCCCTCGTTGTACCCCTGCCGCCTTCCGCCGGCCTTCCGTCGCCTCCACCGAGGAAGAGGTGTGGACTCCTCCGATGCTCGAAGGCGCGGGAGGTCATCTGCAACAACGTAACGTGGCTCCCCAGAGGTCTGGACCCCTTCCCCGGCACGGGCGTTTCGTCCTGAGCCGTTGTTTGACTGTCCCAGGGCCCAGCGAGAGACCCCAGAGGCTAACACGACCAGTTCTCAACCAAAAATATACCAGCGTCGATTATGAATCTAATCTCCCAGGAGTTGCCCCCGAAGATGCCAGGGCAATCGGGAGCAACGCCAGGATTGATCCGAAGTCGCATCGTCGGAGATCTGCAACTTGCGCGCGGTCGGTCCTCGGCCCCGTGCCGGACGCAACACCCCCGGCACCAGCCTCCGCCGCGAAGACCCGCAGCTTCCCCCTCTCCACGGCGCCCCCGCGCACGGTGGCCCCACCGCGGACCAGGCGCTCGGCGCAGCAGGAGTGCGCGTTGACCTGCAAACGGCAGGATCTGTACGTGATCCACCGCTCCAGGCCAGGGCCTATCCTGGGACAAGGAGCGGTGTGTGTAGATACATACATACATACATACATACAGACAGACAGACAGATAGACAGACATGCATGCATGCATGTATACATACATACACACATACATACATACATGCATGCATACATACATACATACATGCATGCATACCTACATACATACATAAATAATTATGTGCATACATACATACATACATGCATACATACATACATACATATACATGTGAATGTATACATATATGTATGTATATATGTATGCATACATGCATGCATACATACACACGTACATGCATGCATGCATGCATTCATACATGCATGCATACATACACACATTCATACATACATACATACATGCATGCATACATACACACATGCATGCATACACACAATCAGTCGTACATACATGTATGCATACATATACACATACATACATACATACATACATGCATGCATGCATACATACATACATACATATAGTCATACATACAGGCATGCATACATGCTTGCATGAGTACATATATACATACAAATAACCAATCCTACGTAGATACAGGCATACATATATGCGTACGTCCTTACATACATCTATATATACATATATACATACATACATGCATACATACATACATATACACATGCATACATACATACACATATACACGTATACACTCATGCCTATATGCGTGCATACATACATACATACATGCATATATAAACACAGGCATGCACACATACATGCATGCATGCAAGCATGTATGCATACATACCTACATGCGTACATACATACATACATACATACATACATAGAAAAACCTTACACACAAAGATGCATATTTATACATGCATTCATACATAAATGCATGCACATATACATACATACATACATACATACGTACATACATACATACATACAGACAGACAGACATATATACATACATGCATACATGCATGCATGCATACATACATACATACATACATACATACATATCAATATACATACATACATACATACATACATACACATACATACATACATACATACATACATACATGCATGCATGCATGCATTCAACCAAACAATCATGAATGCCTATATGATACATACGTACATACATATATTCATACATACATACATACATACATACATACATACATACATACATACATACATACATACATACATATATACATACCCTTGTCCATATGTCTACAATCTGGGACCCTGCGGACCACCCTAAACAAGACTCCCAGATCCGTGGCCCCCAGTGCCCCATGGACGCCCCTGCAGAAGATCCCCCTGGCTTTCCGCAGCTCCTGGAAGCCCGTGCTGGGCCTAAGCAGCAGTCCCAAATCGGTCAGAGGCTGGCCGAACGGCCCCGCGAGAGCCCGAAGAGACCCCAGACACCCACCAGACGCCCGAAGACGACCCAAAGGAGACCCCCAAGACGATTTCGAAACTCAGAAAAACATCGATATCTCCTTAGATTTGGTATGATTCCTGGGAATGCTCTGTTCTTCGGTCCTCCGAGCGTCCGAGACCGCCCACGTGGCCCGAAAACCGTCCCCGGGCTACCCAAAAAGGTTTCCAGGCAGACCAGGAGAGCCCAAAGACGGCCCCACAAGCCCCAAGTTGGCCCGAAGGGAGCCACATGACGGCCAAGGATGGCCCCAAGACGCCCCTCGAAGCATTTAAAATGTTGTGACCCGGTCGTTCAGGGAGACCGCGATTGGAAGCAGGGTGGCCCGAGGAAGACCCCAGAGGCCCCCGGAAAGCGCCCAGGAGGCATCCAGAAGTCCCCAAGAAGTCCTTACAAAGTTTGGTGAGGTCCCCCAGAAAAATCTCCAAGGAGGAAACTCCGCATAAACAGCTGAGAAGGATGGGGAAGAATTCGCAGTGTATGACCGGGAAGAGGAAGAAGGACAGGAAGCCTGAGGGATTGATAATAATAACATGGTTACATGATTAAGACGAAGATGCCCGAAACAAACACAACCAATTATAACCACTAAAGTTTCGGTTTGACCTTCCTGCCATTCCGTCTGAATGCCACAACTCAAGGACCAACGTGCATGGCGCTAAGCGCCGATGCAGATTTGCATATGTACATATCCCTCTACGTACACATACAAGCATACAGACATGCATGCATGCATGCATGCATACGTACGTACGTACGTACATACATACATACATACATACATACAGGGAAGACACAGACAGCAAGGCAGACAGACTGACTGACTGGGAGACAGACAGACATGCATACATGCATACATGCAGACACATACATTCATACACAGACATGCATGCATACGAACATACATACATGCACACACAGACATGCATAAATACATACATACAGACATACAAACATACAAGTCTGCAATCATGCATACATTCATACAGACAGTCCAACAGGCAGACAGGCAGACATGCATGCATACATGCATACACATAAACACACATACCCACATGTATAAAGTTGCCTAAATGTATATGCAGATATGCATTCGGGCAGACACGCATGCGTGCATATATGCATGCAAGTATACACACATACACACATACACATACACACATACATACATGCATACATGCATGCATGCATACATACCTATATACAAACATATATACATACATACATGCTTGCCTACATGCATACATACATACATACATACAAACATACATACATACATACATGCATACATACATACATACATGCATATATACATACGTGAATACATACATATATACATACATGCATACATACATACATACATACATGCGCATACATACATACATACATACATGCATGCATACATCCATACATACATACAAACATACATACATACATACATACATACATACATACATACATACATACATACATACATACATACATACATACATACATACATACATACATACACACATACACACAAACATACATACATACATACAGACATACATACATACATACATACGTACCTGCATGCATGCATGCATGCATGCATGCATACATACATACATACACACAAACACAAATATATATATATAAATGCAGGCGTACATGCATGTATACATACATGCATACATGCATGCACGCATACCTACATGTGTCCATACATGCATGCATGTATGCATGCATGCATGCGTGCGTACGCACGTACGTACACACATATACCTACACATGGTTATACAAAGGTAAACAAGTCTATCTAAATATACGTGTGTATGTATATATATATACATTGTCGACGCCCTCCGCCCTCCTGGCTCGACCAAGGGGAGGCATGTGATTCCATCGGTCGAAATTTCGAGCAGCCTTCATCTATACTCTCTTGTTTTTTGGTCCACAATCCTGTGAGGGCCTGAACGAAGGGGCCAATCGGTAGGCCCACGGTGAAAGTCGCGCACTGTGAGCGACCTCCCCAGAACAAGCATGTGTCCCGTGGTGCTCGTCGGACATCGCGGCGGGCAATCGCCACAGCCATCTACACTGACCCGAGATCCGACGCTGCAGTCAACATGCAGCATCGCAAAACAGATCACGACCACCGAGCCGGATCGAGCCGTGAGGGCCCCATGGGCGCGAAACTCGGCGAAACCGCCCCTTGCGAACAAGACTACACCTGCAACGCCAGGACCTCAGGGAGGAGCAGCACACGTGCAGACCCAGACCCTCGACGCCGTGTGCTTTTTCGCGGCGTCGACCCCCAGAGCCCCAAAGGCCTGGACCCCTTCCCCGGGACCGGCTCCTCCTCCCGAGCTGTTCTGCTGACGGTCCCGGGGGCCCGGCCAGGGCCCAGCAGAGCGACATGACCTCCCGCCGTGTGCTTCTCACCACGCGAGGGGGTCTGCGGGGAGAGGGGGGGGGGGGGCCAACCCTGATCATTGGATACTGGAATTTTCCAGTCGCGACCGACGAGAACGGTCGCTACCGATTCTGCTTCAAATTTCGGTAGCGGTCGCGGCCGATTTGCTACAAAATCGGTCGCGACGATCGGTCGCGACCGATCGGTGGCCACCGGACACGACCGATCCGCGATCGGCCGCGACCGATTTGGAGTGCCGATCGGTCGCTACCGATCGCGACCGAAAAAATCAGTATCCAATGATCTGGGAAGGGGGGGGGGGGCCCGAAATGGGTACGGATTGGACGCCCGAAATGGGTACGGAAAGAATGGGCACAATGCCCGACAACAAATGTTTCTTCCAAACCGACAGCGGCCGCTGTTGGGCAGGCGGCCTTATGCTCGTTCTGGGGACCTTCCTGGAGCCACTCGCTCCACTCGTGCGTCGAAGCTGCGTCGAACGTCAGTCGAGCTGGGTCGACCCTGAGTCGAACCTGAGTCGAACCTGAGTCGAACCTGAGTCGAACTTGAGTCGAACTTGAGTCGAACTGGGGTCGAACAGATCCGTGAGGTGGGCTCCAGGAAGGTCCCCGAAACGAGCATCGAAGCAGGGACAGTAAAACAGGGCTAGGATCGGGATAAATCGCTCCAGAGCGTTCCGGAGCGCTCTCAGAGCGTTCCGGAACGCTCTGGAGCAGCCGCGGCGCCCAATACATCCTCCAAACCCGCCGATTCTCAGAGATTTCGAGTTATCCCGACCCAATTTTGTGCCGATCTTCGCGTCGTTTTAGACAGCGAGTCCTGTTCAAAATGAACAAGATCCGCTGTTGGGCAGTGTACCCATTCTTTCCGTGCCCATGTTCGTTCGTGCAGACGGGAGGCCAGCGGGCGCCGCGCTATTAATGGGTGAGGGACGCGCGACGCGCGAGGATGCGAGGCAAGGCGGAGCAAGCGAGGGAAGGACAAACGACATGGGAAACGATCCTCCTCCTGCTCCTCCTCCTCCTCCTCCTCTTCTCCTGCTCCTCCTGCTCCTCCTGCTCCTCCTCCTCCCCCCCCTCCTCCTCCTCCTCCTCCTCCTCCTCCTCCTCCTCCTCCTCCTCCTCCTCCTCAGGAGGCGTCCACGTCTCGCCCCCCCCGGGGGGCCACGGCCCAGTGCAGCGGCGCCCGGTTCCAGCGGTCCAGCAGGTTCACGAGGGGGGGCGCCCCTGTCTGGGCGTGGCCTAACGGGGGGGGTCACAACTGGGGGGGGTCAGAGAAGGTCCCCTTTCGTGCCCCTTGCGGGCCCCTGCAGAGCCCCAGGGGGCTCGTTTGGGTACCGTTTGGGTACCTTTGCGGACCACGCTCGCCCCCCCCCATTTTATGACCCCCCCCATTACGCGGCGCCCAACCTGTCGCCGCGGAAGGGTCGCCGGCCGCGGCCAGGAGCAGCGCCTCCAGCGCCGGCAGGTTGCCCGCCTGGCGACAAGGCCCGGGACTTCTGTTGTTCCCATCCTACTGAAGGACCACATGCCAGAAATAAGTTCGAGCACCCAGAAAAGTGTCAAATGAGTGTCCAATGGGTGTCGAAACAGTGTCGAAACAGTGTCGGGCGAGTGTCTCCCAGGGCCCGACACGTGACAACCCTTGAGTTTCGGTACTTTTTGGGGCCGCTCGAAATTCTTCCTGGTGAGCAAGGCTAAAGTGGGTTGGAGCATCATAAAGCCCGGGACCGGGACGAGATCGGACGGGGACAGATCGGGGATCTCGGAGCCCAGACCCCCTCGCGCGATGACAGAAATCACGACGGGAGATTTGCCCGTGTTTCCGGCCCCTGGGGGCCCTTGCCGGGCCGCGGGGCCATCAGAAGACGAGCCAGGGCGAAGAAGCGTTGCTGGGGAAGGGGTCCAAACCTCTGCGGGTCGACGTTGTGAAAAAATCACGACGTCTCGGCGGTGGACAAACCTCCTTGTAGTAGACCTCCCCTCAAGGAAAACAGCCTGGGACCGAAACCGACGGACCTGGACCCGCAAAAACGACGGCCGCGACGCCCTCTCGCGAACCGAAAACGGCCGATTCCTTAACCGACGCGTCGGGGTAGGAGTTGGGCGCCCGAGTTATCCGGGGCAACTCGGGTCCGGGGTAACTCGGGCTTGGATTCCCGAAAAACGAACCCGAGCTATCCCTGACCCGAGTTACCCCTGATGACTCGGGGCTCTGAAGGAGGTCTGCCCGCCCCCGAGACCTCGGGGGGTCTGGGCGCCCCGAGGCCCCGGCACTGCGCTTTTGCCTCACCGCCGGGCGTGTCCGCCCCGGCCTCCGGCCCCCCGGGGCCCTCACGGATCGCTCCAGCTCGAAGAACGGGGCAGCAAGATAGGGCTAAGTCGGGCCTGTCCCCCTACAGGGGGATTTTCGACGAAAACTAAAAAAAATCAAAACATAATACAGAAACAGTCTGGGGACTATTTGGGGGGTATCTGTTGACCTTTTGGGGGCATTTTTGGGGTATTTGTTATTTTTCGTGGAAAGTCCCCATGTAGGGGGACAGGCCTGACTTAAAGATAGGGTCCCGGGACTCCAGTCGCACATCTTCTCCAGTCGCACATCCTTGAAGGGGCCCAGGACACACACATACATACACACAAAGAAAAAGGTATCCCCCATATTTTCCCATATGTCTTTTGGTCTTTGTCTTCCCCCCCCCACACTTCCCATATTTTCCCATATTTTCTGGGGAATCGACGATGAATTGCGTCTGTGTGTATTTTTCCCTCCTGAATTTTCTGCGATGTTGCAATTGTTGACAACGTCGGATCTGACGGTGTATCGGGCCCCGCAGACGTTCCAGAGCGCTCCGGTACGCTTTGAGAGCGTTCTGGAGCGCTCTGAAGCGATCCATCCCGGTCCTATATATGGCCCCGCCCGACGCCTTGGCCGCCGAGTGCAGCGCCGTGAACTTGCGAGCCCGGTCTGTGGACCACAGGTTCGCCCGCGACTCCAGCAGGGCCACGACCAGGTCTCGCGAGCCCCTCTCGGCGGCCTCCCGTGGGCGCGCGGCTTCGGCCAGGGAAGCGGGGCCGCATCGGGACGTGCGTCGGACAGCGGGCCGCATCGGCACGGCGTCGGGATCGAATCGGATCGGCCGCGCCGGGTCCGCGTCGGACCGCCGGAGTATCAGGAGCGAGCCGAGTCGAGGGGGTGTGCGCGCCGCGAGGCGAGCCGCGGCGGGCTGGCCACCGCGGCCTGCAGGCCCGCGCTGCACACACCAAGGGGCCCGGGTGGGCGAGCCTGGTCAGCTCAGCCCGGCACACACCCCGGGGTCCGTGCTGAGCCCACCTGGCGTCAGAGCCCGCTCTCGGAGGAAGAACACTGCACAGGCGCAAAAATCCCAGACCCCCGACGTCGTGACTTTACTCTCTCGACCCACTCCCTGGGACCGATGTTTCGCTTGTCTGTTGACGGTCCCGAGCCAGGGCGAGCGCCCCCTGAGGGCCCAAAATGGAGAAACACCCCCCGTCGTGATTTACTCAGGACCCGGAGGGGTCTGGGACGATAAGCCGTGGGAGCATCGAAGTCGAGGCGGGCAAGGCCGGATCGAGGTCGGCCCCGCCTTCAGCAGCGGGGGGCAGCCGCGGTAGTCCGTCCGGTTCGGGTCCGCCCGCCTCGCGAGCAGCAGCCGCAGAAGCGCCTCGTGGTTCTCCGCGGCGGCGACGTGCAGGGGCGTCAGGCCCAGGCGGCGGTAGGGCAGCTGCCCCTCGGTCGGGTGTTGCTGACAGTGCCCATGGCCCAGGGTGTCCCCAGGATTCTCGGGGGGGGTCCCAGGCTGCCATCACGAGGCCCAGAGGGCCCCATGGGCTCCAGAATGGGGCGAAAAGCTGAGGGCACCTTGGGCCAGGGGCACCTTTAGCGACCACCGAAGAGGAAGCAACAGCGGCTCAAGCATATCTCTCGTAGGTTCGCGCGGACTTCTCGGATCGGCGCTGGCCCCCCTGGCGGCGCCTCCAGCGCCGCCCCTGGCGCGCTCCGCACGCCAAAGAGGGAGTTCAGCGCCGATCCAGGAAATCCGCGCGGAACTCCGAAAATTATGTTCATACCGCTTCCTTCTTCCACTGGAGGGGGCCCAGGGACGCACAAAAAAACAAGGACAAATCCCAGGATCCACCATCTGTTCCATATGTTATCGATGTTCGTCGTCGCCCCCCCAACTTCCCATAGTTTCCATAATATTCCTGGGGATCGGCGATTCTTGGTGCCCGTGCGTGTTTTCCCCTCCTATGTTTTCCACCTTCTCGGGATGTTCGCCTTCCCCCCCCCCCAGTTCCCATATCTTCGATAGTTTCCTGGTGGTCGACGATGATTTGTACCTGTGTGTTGTCCCTCCTGAACCACCTCGGCCGCCCTACCCTTCAGCGGCATGTCGCCGGGAGGGATGCCCCCCTCGACGTCGAGGCCTGGGAGGAGAAAGGGCGGCATTGATCGAGCAGGGGATCGACTACAGAATCGATATACCCAAGAGTTGACTTCCCGTCAAATCTACGAAGCACACGTCGAATGCTCCGTGGATCGACTGGCTATTCTGCGTCTTTTGCATGGGGCTCGACGAGAAAATGAACTGTGGGGAAAGCTAATTGTGGAATCGATCCCCTACTCGAATCGGGCACACCTGGAAGCTGGAGACACACACGGATCCCAAACCCCCTCGCGCAGCGATCTCTATATATATATATATATATGTATATATATGTATGTATATGTATATGTATGTATATATATATATAAACATAAAACACCAAAAAAAAATCCTGGCGAAAGACCCAACCATAAGCAATTGTTGGTAACGCGTTGTGGGTGCCGCTTTCGGTGGGGCTCCATATGGGGCCACGAAGCGCTGCCTTGGATGGGGGAACCGCATGCGGACTGCGCCACCGGGGCGGGCCTTCGGTGGAGCTCCCTATGGGGCTACGAAACGCTGCCCTGGGTGGGGGAACCGCATGCGAACTGCGCCACTGGGGCCTTCGGTGGAGCTCCCTATGGTGCCACGAAACGCTGCCCTGGGTGGGGAAAGCGCATGCGAACTGCGCCACGGGGGCTTTCGGTGGAGCTCCCTATGGGGCCACGAAACGCTGCCCTGGGTGGGGGAACCGCATGTGGACACCCCCACTGGGGCCTTCGGTGGAGCTCCCTATGGGGCCACGAATCGCGGCCCTGGGTGGGGGAACCGCATGTGGACACCCCCACTGGGGCCTTCGGTGGAGCTCCCTATGGGGCCACGAAACGCTGCCCTGGGTGGGGGAACCGCATGTGGACACCCCCACTGGGGCTTTCGGTGGAGCTCCCTATGGGGCCACGAAACGCTGCCCTGGGTGGGGGAACCGCATGCGGGCTGTGCTACTGGGACCTTCGGTGGAGCTCCCTATGGGGCTACGAAACGCTGCCCTGGGGTGGGGCAACCGCATGCGGGCTGTGCCACTGGGGCCTTCGGTGGAGCTCC